CCCAAATAATACTGAAAAGCGTTACAAAATCCCAAATAATACTGAAAAACATTACAAAACCAAAATAATATCAAAAAACATTACAAAACCTAGGGCAACCACCATCCAATACTTTTAAAATTATCGCCACGCATGTCTCCAATATTATCATAAGATATACATTAAACTAGTATTTGTGTAAGCCAATAATTGCGCTATAAGTTGAGGCAAGCTTGAGTACATAAAATATTACTTTCTTATAATTCAACGTTTTGTTTGTTATTGAATAATTAGATAATGAAATTAAATTATAAAGCATTAATATGGCCGTGACGACAATACGTAGCTAATATCGTGTCAGAAATTTTTCAAATCGTCACCCGATGACAACGCTCTGTAGAGTTTAGCCGCCTCTGGCGGTAATTCGTGGAACTACAAATCACCTGGCGACAGTCTATACAACTAACACCTATACCATCACAGATCACGGGAAAAGCGGGAAGCCTTTCGTCGCTTTGTTTCTTTTTCTACTGTACTTATAAAGAAAAATGAACGTCGGTCTTATGCTGAAAAACATTGAAAGACAGAATCTTTGGAACTTTATGAACCATCCTAATGACTTGTTTAAGTAGCTTGATATATGGCATTCGTTACTGGCTTTAAGCAGACAGCACGATACATCTTTTAATGTCGTGGACTAAAGTACTTTTCAGTTTGTTTGCTTTGCTGATTTTTTGTGATTGTTTCCATTATCTCCTACAAGAGAATCGGTTCAAAACCAGAAAAACACAACATCCCGGTTCTTTTAAGTTCGTCCGTCAATATTATTACGAAAGTTTGGTGAACAAACAAAAATCAACAAAACTTTTTTTTTCTTTCGAGCGTCTTGTTTTTGTCCAGATGTGATATGTCGCATTGAAAGAAATATTGAAGATAATGTTTACGATTTCAGAAATGGATCACGATCATCGAATACTTATCTTGATATATATATAACAAATAAACTAGGGACGTATTCCCAAAGTTTCGTAGAATTAACTCGAATTAGTATTTAACAGATGCATAGTAGAGTTAATATAAGTTTGACATTAAGCTATAAGACACATATTTATAGATTAGATGCATAGATCAAGACGCACTACATTATCTGATTTAGTCAGAATCTCTCTTAGCTAAAGGGCCTGACATGGACTAGTGGTTACGCTAGTCGACTCGCAATCTGCGGGTCGCGGGTTTGAATCCCCGTCCCACCAAACATGCTCGCCCGTTCAGCCATGGGAGCGTTACAATGTGACGGTCAGTCCCACTATTCGTTGGTAAAAGAGTAGCTCAAGAGTTGGCGGTGGGTGGTGATGACCAGCTGCCTTTCC